ATCATCCACCGCCAGACTTTTTAGCAAATTTTTAACACTTTTCCGAAGCTCATTGAGAGTGCGTTTGTGATCAGATTGATATGTAGTGAATACTACAAGAAATACAAACATTTTAGCTTTACAATAGTACCAAACACTTAATTCTATTCACAATCTGTGACCCGTAACAGTAAAATGAAAATAACTCACTTTTGGAGATTTACGCAATTTCGCACAACGAAGCTGAGATAATCGCAATTTTGTGAAAGTAAATCAATACTGCACTACGCTAATGAAAACAAACAAATAGTGAAACACTTACGGACCAGACTGAATATAGTGTTAAAATTGTTAGTACATGTCGGTAATTACCCCATCTGTCGAATTCCGTAAAAAAAAAAATCTGATACACGGAGATATCCTTGTTTGGCGGTCAAGCGTTGCGTTACCAAACACGGAGATCTCCGTGTTTGGCGGGCAGAGTGTTAAAAACAATCTGTCATGTGCACAACGTTGTTTTGTGTTCACCATAGAATTGCATCAGCTGATGACAGTCATGCGCCGTGGTTGTCCGGCTTAACAGGAAAAAGATACATTGGATCTCAAACTTTCTGCTACAATGTGCTCTCGTTCAAATTGGAGAGCCCCGAGTTAAGATTTTCAAGGAAACAAAATTTTCTTGCCACATGAAAAATCATATAGTTCTTAAAGCATCACATTTTTTTTCCCCATTTTGTTAATGACGAGTTACTTGACATTGAATGGGGAAAAAAGTCTATTTACATTGTTTACCTTCAACTCAGTGGCCTTGAACTTGGCATTCTGTTGTCAAGGTTTCCACGTGCAAGAACTAATGTCAAAGATGTGACTGATGCAAAAACCTGAAGCTTATCAGTGGCTTAGAATGATCAAAAGAGCTGAGTGTAAATCCATATCGGAATGCCTTACTAGGTGCTTACCCCCTATTTTTCCCATTGGTATGCAGTTGTTGACCCTCTATGTGTGGTCTTTGTTCTGTGTAAAAAAGATTTGTGGTTGGTCATGACATTGAATCAATGATTATATTATTATTATTTCATTGGAATATAGATTATGGTACTGTGTTCTATACAGTCAGGTTGCATTTTTATAACATAAGTGTAAACTGCATCTTTGATCTTGAATGACATCAGCTCAATGTACGTCCTCATAATTGTTGTTGTTATTGATGTGATTTTTTTTTTTGATTTTTTTTTTTGGTGGCGTTTTTGTTGTTGATATTGGTGGTGTTTCTGTTGTAGGTATTATTGTTATCATTAATCATAATTTTTCTTATTCTTTTTTAATATTATTTGACTATCACTATTATTTTGTTTGAGATTTAGTCATTTATGTTTAAATCAAAACTTATTATTTTGTTAGTTTTTGTAATAAATATGAATTATCATTGTCATCATCATTATTATTATTTTTTATTCATTACCAGTATTGTTATGAATCATTATCAATAATATTCATCATCACTATCAAGTCATATTAAAAAGCCTTTATTTTTCCCATTTTTGTAATTTATTTCATTGTGATAGAATGATAATGGAATAAATTGAAATTATTATTATTACATAATAATAATAATGGCATCTTGTAAGGCATACTGTACTTACAGATTTGCCATCTACTGTATTGATTACACATTACGTAAAAACTTAACACTTGGTTTTTTAATCAACAAAGATGAATTGGAATATAAACAGTTTTAATTTCATTCTTTTTTTTACATTTAGTAGTCTATATCGTTCACTTGCAAGAAGATATAATTGGTCTCACGCAAGCAAGCAAAAATCTCTCAAAACTATCCTGCCTCCCTTGCAAATTCAGAGTGTTTATAGTATTCTTTCTTGCCATCCATTCTACACATATGCCGCAAAATACAATAACATTTTTTATGGGAGCTCATTAAACCAGATCACAGGAAGTACTATAATTCTCCCAACTTAGGACTCCTGAGATCTTGTTAGCTTACGTTAGATATTATTACATCATCAGATTTTGTCTTACATCACAGATGTATTATCTGTGGTGACAATGGTTTATTATTATCATTACATCCTGCTCAGTACCAAATCGTAGTTTCTCATGAACGTACTCGCTAACTCCTATGGCAGCTGTTCTGTGATTTAAAATATTTGTCTCTTTTTTTTCGGGTGAAAGAGAAGTTTTGAATTATAAATACCAAGAATTTGCAATGTGAGAATTTCTCAAGATTTCATAGAAAGAATTCTCCACGACGAAGTATGCATCCTATTCATGTATAATCTGTATAACCATTACTACTAGGCTTACAAACAATAGTGCTGTGTACATATTTCACCCTTTTCTCACAAAAAAATTCGCAACAAATTTTGTTCCAAGAACCGCTAAGACCTAATGAGACGTTTTTTCTGGCTTGCTGCGTCACTTGTCAATGAAGAGATTCTTCGAAGAATAGTTTGCAGCAAAGAATAAAATCCTTTGCCAGCCACGCTATTATCTTGTTCAGTTAAATTCAAAACCTGTCACGACATTTAAGCCTACTGTAGTGGACAAATTACATCCGTACATGTTCAACAAATTGGTCATGACATTAAGATTTGTGTCAAAAGGGAGTCGTCATAATTTATGGTAGTAAACACACCTGTTAAGCCAAACACCTGCTCCTGGAATATGTTATTTGCACTTTTTGTAAACTTACTGATATCATAATTTTTAAGTGTTCTCATTATACTGGAGTAGGCTTAATCATAATATTTCTTTCTGGTAGTATTTAAACTTAAATTAGAATTTTAACATAAATTAATCTTGTTCCTAATTTCTATGATGAGCAAGAGATGGCATAAATTGGTCATAATTCATAATAATTCATAATTTTATTTCACTCAAAACGTAATGAGTCTGGTAGGCAAAAAAGGCAACATGTCCCTGTGCAAGATGCCTACCAGAGAAACAGTGATAAAGGCAAAGACATAATAATAATAATAATAATAATAATAATAATATTAATAATAGTAATAATAATAATAATAATTATAATAATAACAATAGTAATACAGATAATAAAAATAAATTAATAGTAATAAAAAAAGTAATAATAATGATGATAACAATAATAATAATAATGAATGATGATCAAAATATTGTATTGTTATTATGCCCTGTCTAGATTATCAAATTTTCTTTAACAAAATACTTTTGTATTCCCATATATAGTCATGATTTGCCTATACAGTATAATGGTCATTATGTGATGTCATAATGACCATGTATATGCATGTCAAGTGTTTCATTTTTTGTCTTTATATTTTGTTTATATCGTGGACATTGTTTTTGAAATAAAGAGGATATAATAATAATAATAATAATAATGATGATGATGATAATAATAGTAAATAAATAATAATAATGATAATGGTAATGATAATAATAATTTCTCTAAATCGGACTTAAGGGCAATATCTTTTATGTTATTTTCCCCTTAACATGTTTTTTTTAATTGTTCTCTAATTTCTCCATTGTCTACAGTAATTTCCCCTTAAGGTAGGTTTTAGTAACATAATAATAATAATAATAATAATAATAATAATAATAATAATAATAATAATAATAATAATGATAATAATTTCTCTAAATCGGACTTAGAAGAATATATTTTGTGTTATTTTCCCCTTAACGTTGTTTTTTTAATTGTGCTCTAGTTTCTCCATTGTCTAATTTCCCCTTAAGGTAGGCTTAAGTAACATAATAATAATAATAATGAAATAATGATAGTAATAATAGTAATAACAAGAGCACTCAGTAGAGAGCATACCTCCCACCGAAAATCCCTTTCTATAAAATAAATCTCCCAAAATATGTGCCTAATTTACTTCAACCACCACCAATACCACCCCAACTCACTTCGCTTCGCTCCTCTTCAAAATCACTTAGTAACTTGCCCAAACATTTTTTATTCAAAGAGGGGCATTATTTCCACTTTTAGGCCAATTAACTGTGGCCCTACTTTTCTGAACACAGAATCCAAGCAACATATAGTACAGTATCAAAAAATTTGATCTACTTTTGAAAAAACCGAACCGAAAATGCCTTTTATTGTATTATTTGTATACCTGCAAATTCCTTACTTCTGGTTAAACACACTGGAATGTTTTACTCTTATAGTTGACAAAAAATATCATGCCAATTATTGGTGTTGAATTAGAAATATTATGCAAATAGTCAAATTAGAAGAAAGATGGGGTATTGGTTTTTAGCGTCACATGTTTAAATATAAATATGCATTAAAATACTTCCAATCAGTTTCTAATAAAGTGACCAACATATTTTTAAATGGTCCTAATATCCACACCCTACTCTGGATCGTCACCAAAATTTAAACATTTCTTCATTGAAAAACTATTCTGGAAAGTTGCATTTAGATCCATTAATATGTTTTTAGAGATATTTAGGTCTGGGAACTTAGCATTTCTAATGACCCTCAAACTTAACAAATTTTGGATTGTCACCAAACTTGCATAATTTCTTCCTATATAACTTTGTTAAACATTACGAAAGACTCATTCAGATCAGTAGATTAGTTTTTTAAATATCTGCTCTGGGATGTTTTCCTTTGAATGGTCCTCATATCCACACCCTACTCTGGATTGTCACCAAAACTTTAATCACCTCATCCTGGGGTCATACCTAGCACTTTTCGTAATTATCCTTTAAATCTGTGCAGCCGTTTTTGAGATATGTTAAACACACACTACAAAAACACGAAATGTGACAGACACGCACACAAATTACATGACTGAAAACATATATTTCCTAGCAGAGATAATAATGATAACATTTACAATGTTATTGTAGGTTTATTTGCACATTTAAATATTCTATTGTTTCTACTTTGTATATCATTGTAAACACAGTTATTTCATCTTTTATTGTATTATGTAGTGTTTTTTGTTTTTAATTTAAATTGCTCATTGAATATTCATACAAATTTTTTAATTTGTTGTTGTAGACACTTGATCGTCTGAAGCAGTCGGCAACAGGGTCTCGACGTAGGGTGTTTGTTGTGGAGACCATGGGCGGATTCTGTGGTTACCTTGCTACAATGAGTGGCCTAGCAGCAGGAGCAGATGCAGCTTACATTTTTGAAGAACCATTCACCATAAAAGATCTCCAGGTTCGGATTTTTTTTTTAGTATAAGCCCCCCCCCTACAGTTAGGCTTAGTTTCAGATGCTAGCCTTCGCCTGAGCATAAGCGAATGGTATAATTACAATTTATTTTGTTTAATATAGTTTGCACTCTAGCAAGCTGGTTTTACACTAGCAAATTTATTGGCACGAATCAAAAGCCTCGGTGCATGTGCATTCACATTTCTATCAGAGTTTTTCACTTCAGTGAAATCTGTAGTTCAAACTGTTTCTACTTTTTTCTGAATCGAAAATATGCGCAACCAATCAGAGCTCAGGTACCTAACCAACGCTTTTGATTCACGCAAATAATCCGCTTATTGTAAAACCGACTTAAGAGATTATTAAAATTACTTTGTGCTCAGTAACATCTAGATTATAATCATCCAAGGCATATCCTGGGGTTGGAGGGGATAAAATGAGGGCTCAGGGCTCCAAAAAAAAGAGAAAAAGAGAGAAGGAAACAAAAGAAAGACAAACAATTTAAAAAAAAATGTATATGCCATGTACCAGTGCCTACTGTATGTTCAAGTATTTTGAAACAAAATTCTCAAACAACACCCTAAAACCCTGCCAACCCTACCCCCGTACACAGATTTTTTCTCTGGATCTGCCTCTGATCACTGGGTTTAACTTCCCCTCCTCCACACACCTCCCTTAAATTTTCTCCTATTATGAACCCACCCCAACACACCTCCATTTCCTCCTACAGTATTATGTAGTACAGTATATTAATTATTTTTGCTGCGAAGCAGCCATTTCATATTCTTGACAGCAATTTGACCTCTGAAAGGTCATTGTTTGTCAAAAAACAAGGGCCTAAGACGACTGAAAAGCGGAGTTTCCTTCTTTCGTTCTGCCGGGTAAAATCAATCACTTTAGGCGACGTTTGTAGACTAACCAACACGTACCAACGTCCGCATGTTGCGCTAGCCTTATCCTACTCTAGGCCTAGACTAGCTAGGATGGTATAGGCCTAGCCTTGAAGGGACGAAGGTCCCAATGAAAAACGACGTCGTTCCTTGATAGCTAACATTGTCTGTTTAACATCACAATAATTCATTATTAGACCTATAGTTGTTTTTTGAATTGTACTCCACAAATCTCAGCCGATACCTCGCACAACTCGAGTAGCGTCTCGTATCTTGTCGTGACGTCATTGTTCGCTGGCTCACACTTGCGATGTCTTGACTTGTGATCAAATAACACGCTGGCTCGTACTTTGCAACACTCTTTGGCAGTCAACTCGCCCCTAGAAAACCCGCCCTTGGAAACTTGCCCCATAAAAAAATATACA